TTTTCCAAAAAGAACTTCAAATTTTGATTCGTCTGACCACAGAACAGTTTTCCACTTTGCCACAGTCCATTTTAAATGAGCCTTGGCCCAGAGAAAACGCCTGCGCTTCTGGATCATGTTTAGATATGGCTTCTTTTTTGACCTATAGAGTTTTAGCCGGCAACGGCGAATGGCACGGTGGATTGTGTTCACCGACAATGTTTTCTGGAAGTATTCCTGAGCCCATGTTGTGATTTCCATTACAGTAGCATTCCTGTATGTGATGCAGTGCCGTCTAAGGGCCCGAAGATCACGGGCATCCAGTATGGTTTTCCGGCCTTGACCCTTACGCACAGAGATTGTTCCAGATTCTCTGAATCTTTGGATGATATTATGCACTGTAGATGATGATAACTTCAAACTCTTTGCAATTTTTCTCTGAGAAACTCCTTTCTGATATTGCTCCACTATTTTTCGCCGCAGCATTGGGGGAATTGGTGATCCTCTGCCCATCTTGACTTCTGAGAGACACTGCCACTCTGAGAGGCTCTTTTTATACCCAATCATGTTGCCAATTGACCTAATAAGTTGCAAATTGGTCCTCCAGCTGTTCCTTATATGTACATTTAACTTTTCCGGCCTCTTATTGCTACCTGTCCCAACTTTTTTGGAATGTGTAGCTCTCATGAAATCCAAAATGAGCCAATATTTGGCATGACATTTCAAAATGTCTCACTTTCAACATTTGATATGTTATCTATATTCTATTGTGAATAAAATATAAGTTTATGAGATTTGTAAATTATTCCATTCCTTTTTTACTCACAATTTGTACAGTGTCCCAACTTTTTTGGAATTGGGTTTGTATGTTTAATATGGTTTTCACAATTTTAATAATATTTTAGTTGTTTTACAGCTCACTCAAGTAATCCTGCAGTGTGACCAATGAATTATTAAAAGTACAAATATGTTGTTTCTAAATTTGAGAGGTCATTAAAAATGTATAATAATACTAAAATAATTTTCCCACAAACTAAAGAGTAGCATCTCACAATTATGTGCTTAAACAAGAACAGTAAACCAGATTTGTAGTTGTGTGGCTTCCATTGTCCAGAATGGTAACACTTTACAATAAGGTTCCATTTGTTGACATTAGTTAACTACATTAATTAACATGAACTAGTAATGGAAAATACTTCTAAAGCATTTATTAAGCTTAATGTTGATTCCTACATTTACATATAGCGTTTCTTTAAAATCATGGTTTTAGCTACTACAAATAAAACCAAAAAACCTTGGCTACTATAGTTAAGCCATGGTAACCACAAATTAAGCATGGTTTTGCAACACTGGTTATACAAATGTTAGGGAAGACACACAATATAGGCCTATGAAAATACACATGGCACTTTGCATTACTTTGTAACTGGTTCATGGTATAATGAGAGGGAATTTGGACTATTTATAATTTAGTGTCTTTGTGCCAATTTGTGCCTGGTCAGCAGCAAATAACTGTATCTGACCGGATATGCTGGCATCCGAGGCACAACCGAGCGCAGACACGTCAAGTCCGTCCTGAGAAATGCATCCGCAGCCCCGTGAGGAACTGAAAAAAAACCCACACACACTCGTGAGTGAAGCTTCGCGATTAATATTCACTCGACCGTCAGTGTTTAGAAACCATTCAAGTGCGAGTGCAACTGTCCTAAGCACATTAAAGGGGTCATATGATGCGATTTCAATTTTTCCTTTCTCTTTGAAGTGTTACAAGCTCTTGGTGCATAAAGAAGATCTGTAAAGTTGCAAAGACTAAAGTCTCAAATCCAAAGAGATATTCTTTATAAAAGTTAAGAGTCAGCCACGCCTACCTAAAAGGGCTCGTTCTAACACGCCCCCACATATCTACGTTGCTATGTGGGAAGATTTGCATAACTCTGCCCAAATTTTCACACAAAGAAAGAAGGCGTAACTTTTAGCTTTTCAGACCGATGAGTTTTGTAAAAATGGACGCATTTCAGAAAGGCGGGGCATAGAGGAGAAACAATAATGTACAGTATGTGGAAAATAATGTGTTTTTTTAACCTTAAACCACATTTCATTACACCAAATACACAAAATAATGTTCTTTTTAGCAACATCATATGACCCCTTTAAGTAAGTCACGTATACTTTTACTTTGGAATTCCACTGCTGGGAGCACAATAAAAAGACTAAAATGTTTAAAAGATCCAAGACTAAATATCCAAATGAAAGTGAATCGACGCGCTTGGCCAATTCACTGTAAAGAAAGGACTCAGAAGAAGAATTATTCATTCGCAAAATAATGGTCTCACTGGTTCAGTCGTCAGAGCAATGTGACATACGCACATTATAACTGATGAAATATTTGCAGGAAAAAAGTGTCAATACTAAAAATGACAGAAAAATGTCCAGCAACAGAGCCATTGGCTGATGCCATATCACACTGCCAGCTGATATTAAAATACATACCTCTGTTGTTTTGTGACAACACATTTGCAATTTAAGATTAATATTAAAAGGTTAATAATAATAAACTGAGCATTTGAACTTGATAGTGAAGTCCATGACAATGTGGCAAAATGAAAAATGCATTTTAGCCAAGCAACTGTGATTAACAGGAATGCTGGGTACTAGGTATTATAGATCTTCTTCCCTGCAAAAAAGTGAAAAAATGGCTTTGGCTGTTTTGATTTTTTTTAATTTACTATTATTATTATTATTATTATTCTGGACTATTTCACAGAAAGAGACAAGCCATTTGATGTGTGCTGCACCAACTTCCTGTTTCTATAGACAGCATGAAATAAAATTGTCAAACCATTTCAGTTTTGTTAACTTTAGGCTGCTGTATTGGATTCCTGCATCTGTCAAATAATGAACAATATGCTGTTTTGTTAGATGTGTGAATCACAATCATCTTAGCCTTTGTAACATTGTTAAAATGACACCATATGGTAGCCTGTCAGCACCATTTCAACGCCTCTATTTTTATACTAATTGTCTCAGAATGTTTCTAATTCTCATATCTACATCTAACAAGTTTGATTTCTCATCTTCCCCATCTTCATATTGAGTTACACAGCTCATGAACAAATTAATTGTTTTCTCATATCTTGTAAAGAATCTTTGAATTCATCTTTAATCAAGAGTCAAAAGTATGTAAGTATTTTTGGAAAGACAAATTGAGATGAACAGTTCACGATGATGTTTTTAGTCACAATTCAAAAGAGTAAAGCACACATATTCAAAATTCTTATTCTTATAAAAAATGCGTTTTTGTTCGTTTTTGTTTCACAGCATCTTTTTATTGTAATGTTTGAAAATGCATTGATGTCCAGTTACAACAAGGTTGCCAAAAAAATGTATGAATATAAATCATACCAAGCTTTAAAAATCTCACCGAAATTGACCTAAGATATCATACAATATGTTGTCTCTTACAATTAACAGTAATGCAATAGCTAGCTGTCAGGAGGCGGTGGAAGTCCTTCAAATACAGGTCAAACTACATGAAAGCAGCCACAAGATGGCAGTGTCATCTTCACAAAACCCCAGATTTCCGTTCGTGTTCGGTTCCCAGTGGAAATGAATATCTAACAAAAAAGCTATGGCTCATGTTTGTTCATTTCCCTGTGGAAATATAGCCTTCGCAAAACTAATATAGCATAGTGTTTTTTTTTGTTTGTTTGTTTTGTTTTTTACTGGCTCTTTAATATTATGATTTTACAGCTTCTAACTTACTTGATTACTACTTTGGTAGTTTTTTTGAGTGGAGATTATACATTTTGGAGAATAGGGTTATCTGTTGGCTCATATTTTATCTTGGGTTAGTTATTAATTAGCCTAATCGTTGTTACTGTAAAGTTTTTATTTTCATATTTAGCCCATAAGGTCAACGTAACTGATTGAACAAATCCAGGATGCGACCTGTAATAACTGCCACCCACATAATAGCAGCCACCTAAATGCAAAAAAAAAAAAAGAAAAAAGGTTAGCACTAGTCTATGCCGTTTTTGTAGGCTATTAATAGTGTGATTAGTGTGTGTGCACAACGAATATTCCATAAAGAAAAAGTGCACTCCACATGCCCGGATGATGGAGGGGGAGGGGCTGTTATAGACTCCGATGTTGGATGACAAAACAATCTTATATATTCAATCTGTATATAATTACAGAGTACACAGTGCCTAGAATAAGTGCATAGCGTAGTGTGTCATTTGGGACACAACCTGTCTCTTATCACTCAACGCATTATGGTGCTTTCATTCAAGATTTCTAACCATGTCATATGCATTAGCTAAATGTATCCTATTGAAAATGTCCGTATCTGATTAAGTAAAAAATAAACAAATAAAGATTTTATTTGAATAATAAAAATAAAAACATTATTTTTTTGCCCATTACAGCATTCGCTCTGCACGTGAACACCCTCAAAAACGGGAAAATGAGCTTAATTTCAAATTTCATGCAACGCAGTTTCTTGCCTTATTGTGGAACTAATATGCTCATAGTTATCAGTGTGCTGTCGCGCATATCAACGCACCTACTGTTTTACCGTTTCCCTCAGATACCCGGGAAAGTTGCTTCTAATGTACAAAGTCATGAATATTTAATGAGGTAGAACCGAGGCTGTTTATGATTGGTTGTCTGTTGCTAAACAACTGTGCATCTTAGGGGTCAACCCCTCTAAAAGCTCTATGCTCTGAATCAGAATTTCATGGTTAAAAACATTTTTTGCCCTGCTGCTGTTTAAGTAGACAGGGTTAAGTGTGGTGTGAAAGACCACGTATTGTTTTTGTCTGAAAGCGTTCTTTATGCCACGAGTGAACTGCACTGCAGTGCAAACCTAACGCCACCACTGCATAGTGCATACCTGTCTGTCGACCGCACTAAATGAAAAGCGCTCGGCACATGGATCATGTGTAATAAGACTACACTTCCCATGATGCACCGCGCTCGCGTCGTTCCGCTGCTGTCACTTTGCCGATGCGAGAATCGCCCAGCAGCATCTCAGCCGAGCAGCAGCGCAAAAATGCACTGAAATACGCATTTTAGGACATTTCCACCCTCGTTCGGTTTGCCATGAGGGCGTGTGGTGGGAATAACGGGGATGTTCGCACCGGATTACGTCCCTTTATTTTGAGAGAAATGCGGATTGTTTTGCGCTCGAGGTGTTAACGCAGAAAAAAAAATACAAAAATGAAGAAGCAATTCAATCGGATGCGACAGCTCGCCAACCAGACTGTTGGCAGGTGAGCGCTATGATCTTAAATACGATCGTTTTACACCATGACGAAGTTTATTTATTTACTTATTTATTTGCAGAAAAGAATCCCTAACTCACATATATTTTCCCATTCAAACTTTCGTTATTTTCTAAATATAGCCTGTGAATGCATATTTAAACATTTTTAGTAGCCATTACTACTCATAGCGTCTAGCTATTGCGCAATGCATCTTAAAATAGCATTATCACACCCATGCAATATTAGGCATCATTATTATAAAGGCATGATTGGAGGTTGTGCATGCATCCGTGTGTCGTGCGTAACGGGTTCACTGCAGAGGCTTTTCTTCTAGCAAAATGCTTCTCGGAGGTTCCCCATGGCACTGACACTACACCCCCTGCACATGCCTCCAGGATGCATTTCCATCAAATGCAGCTTAATGTAGCACTGCTGTATCAGCTCACGTTGATTTGAATGAGAGGTGTGAGAATGACATGTCTCTAGTGCCAGCTGATGCGGATGGATGCGGATGAGAGGAAAATGGCAAAGGCGCAATGTTTTCATTGCACACTGATCTCTGAAAAAAAAAAGAGAGGAGGAGTTGGGTGCAGTACATCAGCAAGATCTGTCAGTGATGGAGAAGGTCATCATTGCTTCAGAAAGCACGGGTTCGAATTTCCAAATCCAGTTCATTATAGTGCGAATAGCGAAAAAGTTGCTGCCGATTTTTTTTCTTGCTTATCCCATTTATCTTGTTTATGCTGGAGTGGGTGTGAGATGCTTGACCTTTCACATGTTTGGATTGTTCTTTACGTTCTTCGCTCACCCACCTCTCTTCTTGTCATGCACGGGGCGTTGTGAAAGGCCAGAAGGTGTGTTTCGCTATCGGGCGGCTCCTTGCTGGTTGATTATACCACAGTGCTGTGGGTCATCATTTCAAATCCATGCTCAGTGGATGGGTAAGAGAAGCTTCTCTTTTACCTCCTCTGGCTGGCATCAGCAGGCCAGTGGAAAATGGCAAGCCGAGCTCCTCCAACCCAGTTCCAGCATTGCTCAGGGCATGAGATTGTGTGTGTGTGTGTGTGTGTGTGTGTGTGTGTGTGTTTGTGCGTAAGCCCTGCATTAGTATTCTCTACCTTTCCCTGGTAATGTCCAGGGAACTGTGGCAGCGGCCCACTGTGGCATTCTGTCTGTAACTGCATGTGCGGTAATGAGAAACAACATGTTTCCTAAACAACGCAGTGTACTGACTCATTAATAATATGTCCCAGGGTCTGGGAGGGCACACTGGACTGATGTTTGCTTTGGAAAATAGATTTGCATGTTCCTGTCATGTATTAGAAGTACAGAGTCACATCTCCCAATATCAGCTGAGAGTTGCACTTGGACACTGTGTTCACGACCTTGACAGACTCGTGCAGAGGTATTGCAGTGCAAGAGATGATCCATGACTCTTGTTACGTCACTGACTTTTGTTGTCCATTATCAACACCAGTTTTCTTTGCGAATATTTAAAGTCAGCATGAAATCAATATAGCTTTTATTTTCTTAATGTGTGTTACTGATCTTATTGTGAACAATTTTTAATGCAAATGTATTTTTGACCAAATTTGAATTTAAATGGCATAACTTGTTCTTCCTGTGATATGATCGACTTCTCTCTGCTTATGTATGCAGTCAAGCCAATCACATTCAGATCTGCCTTCATTTCAGTATTCAATGCTCGCTTTTCACTTTAAAGGTTTAGTTCACCCAAAAATGACAAATCTGTCATTAATTACTCACCCTCATGTCGTTTCAAACCCGTAAGACCTTCATTAATCTTCGGAACACAAATTAAGATATTTTTGATGGAATCTAAGAGCTGTCTGACCCTGCATAGACAGCAACGCAACTGAAATGCTCCCAAGTCCAGAAACGTAGCAAGGATATCAGTAAAATAATCCATGTGACATCAGGGGTTCAACCGTTCTGTGTCAGCTGCGTCACGCCGGATCTGTTTCCTACGTTGTTGTGATTTGATCTGAATGAAACAGGGTATCCGTGTGACGCAGCTGACACAGAACAGCATACGCTGTTTACGTCCAGCGGATATTCTCCAAAATGGCACCAGGGTGATGCGGAGGAGACGAATTGTTGAATAAAGTCGTTTTTTTTTTTCCTTTTGTGCACAAAAAGTATTCTCGTAGCTTCGTATAATTTACGGTTGAACCACTGATGTCACATGGATTATTTTACCGATCTCCTTGCTATGTTTCTGGACTTGGGAACATTTCAGTTGTATTGCTGTCTATGCAGGGTCAGAGAGCTCTCAGATTTCATCAAAAATATCTTAATTTGTGTTCCGAAGATGAACGAAGGTCTTACGGGTTTGAAACGACATGAGGGTGAGTAATTAATGACAGGATTTTCATTTTTGGGTGAACTAACCCTTTAAAGTTGACATGAAACAGAAATTACAATCGTTGTTCTTTTCATATTATGATGCATTTTCAGTTATTTGATTATTTTCTGTTTGTTATTTTCTGATTATTTTCGGAACTTCATGAACGAAAACTCCAAAAGTACTAAAAGTGTTTATTAACAATGAAAAGTCTTTATATAATACTTGCAAAACAGCAGACTCCGACTCAAAACAGTGAAAGCAACATTTTAAATGAATAACCTACCATTCAGAACTTTGGGGTCGGTAAGATTTTTTTTTTTTTATGAAAGAAATTAGTACTTTTAATCAGCAATTAAACATTAAATGAGACAAACATAGCAGTAAATAAATTTATAATGTTACAAACGATTTTTCTATTTAAAATAAATGCTGTTTTATAACTTTGTGTTCATCAAAGCATCCAAAAATTCAAAGTTTCGACAAAAGAAATTAAGCAGCCCAACTGTTTTCAATATAATAAGAAACGAGCAGCAAATATAGCAAACATATTAGAATGATTTCTGAAGGATCATGTGACACTGAAGACTGGAGAAATTATGCTGAAAATTCAGCTTTGCATCACAGGAATAAATGACATTTTAAAATATATTCAATGCAGCCTTGCTTTCAAAAACATGACTAAATACTGACCCCAAACTTAAATGATAGTGTTATTCAAACCAAATTCTATTCGACGAGCCATGTTTGAAGCCATTGTAAAATAGCGGATACACAAAATAGTTGATAATCCATATAAATGTATAGCAGCCGTAAACAACTAAACTCCTCTTCATGTTGTATCTAACAAACATTTCTATAATCAGTATGTACTGCAATACTGCACAGGCCTAGTGTATACATTTGTATTTATGTATTTGACATTTGTCCAGATGCTTTTATAGCTGTGTCCCCCATCCTCCCCGCTGTTTTCATTTCTCATCATTTGTAAATCACTTTTCCTCTTGCCCACTGTGATGAAAATGACTACCCCCTGCTCTGTGTGTATGTGCATTTGTGTTTATCTGGCTCAGGGGCCAGTATTTGTGTTCTTTCTCCGTGTTCTCAGTGTGACTATATTTATAGTCCTCTCATTCATGTTTTTGTGGCAGTGAGTGTTTGTGAGGGTTTTTGGTGGGGTTGTGCACTGCCTGTAGTGTTTTCTCTCTCAGGAAGTATGGCAGCCTCCCTCTTCCTTCAGAACTGCCAGCTTGTTGTTACTGGGAACAGTATGTTGTAAGGAGTTGTGTGTGTTTTTCGCCGTCAGCAGAGAGCTTGGGAACAGTGTGTATGTTGATTAATGGCCCTGCGTTACAAACGTGCTCGCACAACAGGGAGTGCCCACACATTGCAGGGAATCCTTTCTTATATATACACCAAACACTTATATTTAAGGGGTTTTATATCTTTGGCCGTTCATTCACACAACAATGGCGTTTTTGGGTCCACGTGTTTCAAAGTGCAAGTTTTTGAAAACTATACTCTTATCGTCTCTTTGTAAACTACCAAAAACGAATTTGTGAAAATGTTGATTTCATGCGCATGTGTTTTATATGTTCACCAACTATAGTGGCCTAATGCATAATACGGTGTTTTTAGTCATTGTTCGTGGATCTGTGTAAACAGGGATCGTTTTGACAAGTTGACAACATTGTTGTCTAAAAACGCAAAGGAAAAATGTTTCCGTTTTAGTCAAGCGGCAACCTCCCGCTCTCTCTCGTGAAGCCAACAAGGAAGTGACTTAAACTGTAATTCATCAACTGGCCGCCAGAGGCTGGCTGCAAAAGGGAGTCAATCCCATAGACTCGCCCAATTTTGAGCTTCAAAAACGCTCTTCAGAAATCTACGGGTGACGTCACGGACACTACGTCCATGTTTTTATACAGTCTATGGTTTTAGCACATCGTTTTCGCGTAAAATTGCCATACTCTTAGTTGATTCGAAACCACACCTGAGTAAAACTGAGGTCTGAAGTATAGTTCATTTGAACTGTGGATTCCTTCAGAGTCATTAACTTGTCACTGTCACTAGTACTCATGGTGGTACTTTTGTTGATCATTTAAATATACTGCAGTTTGGAGACAAATAATATGGCAAAGGCCCGTGAGGACATAAAGAGGAGTTTAAACCAAGCAATCAAACAGGGCTTCCCTATAGTATACAGAAAAGCAGCAAACCAGTTTCTTATGATCAGATTGAGACTCATTACACATGCTGAATTTCTCAGTAGCTTCTTGATTTTGCAGATTGATCTTTTTCATTGAAGCTCAAATGAATCTGGGCACAAAGTGGGCTTGATTTAAATTACTCGGTTGAGTCTGAAACAGATGCACCTGAATATGTGTTGTGTATTGAGGCAGATTGAAAATGAAAGGTACAGTGAGTGACGATAAAAGGTTAATGCTCTTCATCTGCCAGTGTAATTATAATTTTTGTGAAAAACACTGAAAGTCAATGGTGTTTAACTGCCACTTAGTGTCCGTTTCAGTTGGAATCTGAAATTGTATGTAAAGGTACATTTTGGAAAAGTTTTACAAAAATGTAGGTAGAGGCACATTTTTGCCAATGAGCCCACTCAACCAAATATATCAAGCTACAAAAA